TTAGTCTACCTTGCCACGAAGCACAGAGGTTGACACACAGGGACTTTCCAATTATCCAACAGTGGTACTGTTCCTTTACCCTTGTGGGTAATAATATGGTAGCTAGACCTTCAAAATTTATGGGTCTAAACTTTGTTAGTGCTGTTTCTTTGCTATTCTTTTACCCTTCTTGGTCAGAGCGATGTAGTGGGAGCTGCAAGCTTCACGTGCTCAACTTTGGCAGAGAACTTTGGCAAAGTTATCTGTGGTACCCATGAGCTATTGTTGCGTGTGGGAAGTGGGTGATTGAACAGTAAGATTCATGTGTTTTCTACTTCCCCAGAAGTCTTTGACAGAATGCCCATAATTTCCGCAAAACTGAGTGTGCGTGTGACAGGTGCTGACAAGGCTGGAAAAGGCTTGAAAAGTAGGTGCCTCTTCGATTTCTGAGATCGGCCCTCGTGGTCTCTGGGGAGCCCAGCTTTTGAGAAAGCGAGCGCCTCTTCGATTTTTGAGATCGGCCTTCGTGGTCTTTGAGCAGCCCAACTTTTTGAGAAAGCAAACGCCTCTTCGATTTCTGAGATCAACCCTCGTGATCTCTAAGCAGCCCAGCTTTTGAGAAAGCAAACGCCTCTTCGATTTCTGAGCAGGCGCCTCTTCGATTTCTGAAAGCTTCCGTCGAGTGCAGATTTTTATAGGGGCTGGCATTAAGTTCCAAAGCACACTTGAATCTCCACCAGTAGAAGCTTCATTCTTGCACTTCTAAGATCTTGATTTGTCCGACCTCTTCTCTCTTCAACACCTTTGAAAATGTCTGGCCCCTCCGACCGTCGTTTTGACTTGAACCTTGTTGAAGAGGCAGCCCCGCCTTCTCCAGACAACATATGGCGCCCATCCTTCGTCTCCCCTACTGGTCCTCTTACCGTTGGGGATTCCGTGATGAAGAATGATATGACCGCTGCGGTGGTGGCCAGGAACCTTCTCACTCCCAAAGATAACAGACTACTTTCCAAACGGTCTGATGAGTTAACTGTTAAGGATTCGCTGGCTCTCAGTGTTCAGTGTGCAGGTTCTGTGTCTAATATGGCCCAACGCCTATTTGCTCGAACCCGCCAAGTTGAATCATTGGCGGCTGAAGTGATGAGTCTCAAACAGGAGATTAGAGGGCTCAAGCATGAGAATAAACAGTTGCACCGGCTCGCACATGACTATGCTACAAACATGAAGAGGAAGCTTGACCAGATGAAGGAAACTGATGGTCAGGTTTTACTTGATCATCAGAGATTTGTGGGTTTGTTCCAAAGGCATTTATTGCCTTCGTCTTCTGGGGCTGTACCGCGTAATGAAGCTCCAAATGATCAACCTCTGATGCCTCCTCCTTCTAGGGTTCTGTCCAGTACTGAGGCTCCAAATGATCCCCCTCCGGTGCCTTCTCTTTCTGGGGCTCTACCGACTGCTGAGACTTCTCCAAAGCAACCTTTGTGAAGGCTCCCTCTTGTGTGCTTTATTTTGACTCATGTATATGTACATATTTGTAGCTTATCGGGGATATCAATAAATAAGCTTTCCTTCATTTCAACGTATTGTGTTAAATACACCAAAGCCTTCTTCGCTAAGTTCTTTTGAATTTTCTTTTGTTAAAGCTTGTATGTTGAAGCTTTCTGAGTGGAGCATGTAGGTTGGGGTAGTGTTCCCTTAATTTCCCGAGTGAGGAAAACTTCTCAGGTTGGAGACTTGGAAAATCCAAGTCACTGAGTGGGATCGGCTATATGAATCTTAGAACGCCATTGTGCTCGATCCTGTGTCATGTCCTTCGTTAGATCCAAGTACTCTAAGTCTTTTCTTAGAGTCTCTTCCAAAGTTTTCCTAGGTCTTCCTCTACCCCTTCGGCCCTGAACCTCTGTCCCATAGTCGCATCTTCTAATCGGAACGTCAGTAGGCCTTCTTTGCACATGTCCAAACCACCGTAACCGATTTTCTCTCATCTTTCCTTCAATTTCGGCTACTCCTACTTTACCCCGGATATCCTCATTCCTAATCTTATCCTTTCTCGTGTGCCCACACATCCAACGAAGCATCCTCATCTCCGCTACACCCATTTTGTGTACGTGTTGATGTTTCACCGCCCAACATTCTGTGCCATACAGCATCGCCGGCCTTATTGCCGTCCTATAAAAATTTTCCCTTGAGCTTCAGTGGCATACGGCGGTCACACAACACGCCGGATGCACTCTTCCACTTCATCCATCCAGCTTGTATTCTATGGTTGAGATCTCCATCTAATTCTCCGTTCTTTTGCAAGATAGATCCTAGGTAACGAAAACGGTCGCTCTTTGGTATTTCTTGATCTCCGATCCTCACCCCTAACTCGTTTTGGCCTCCATTTGCACTGAACTTGCACTCCATATATTCTGTCTTTGATCGGCTTAGGCGAAGACCTTTAGATTCCAACACTTCTCTCCAAAGGTTAAGCTTTGCATTTACCTCTTCCTGAGTTTCATCTATCAACACTATATCGTCTGCGAAAAGCATACACCAAGGAATATCATCTTGAATATGTCGTGTTAACTCATCCATTACCAACGCAAAAAGGTAAGGACTTAAGGATGAGCCTTGATGTAATCCTACAGTTATGGGAAAGCTTTCGGTTTGTCCTTCATGAGAGTTCTTACGGCAGTCTTTGCTCCTTCATACATATCCTTTATAGCTTGGATATATGCTACTCGTACTCCTTTCTTCTCTAAAATCCTCCAAAGAATGTCTCTTGGGACCCTATCATACGCTTTTTCCAAATCTATAAAGACCATGTGTAAATCCTTTTTCCCATCTCTATATCTTTCCATCAATCTTCGTAAGAGATAGATTGCCTCCATGGTTGAGCGCCCTGGCATGAACCCGAATTGGTTGTCCGAAACCCGTGTCTCTTGCCTCAATCTATGCTCAATGACTCTCTCCCAGAGCTTCATTGTATGACTCATTAGCTTAATACCCCTATAGTTCATGCAATTTTGTACGTCGCCCTTATTCTTGTAGATAGGCACCAAAGTGCTCATTCGCCACTCATTTGGCATCTTCTTCGTTTTCAAAATCCTATTGAAAAGGTCAGTGAGCCATGTTTATACCTGTCTCTCCCAAAAGTTTCCACACTTCGATTGGTATATCGTCTGGGCCTATTGCTTTTTTATGCTTCATCTTCTTCAAAGCTACAACCACTTCTTCCTTCCGGATTCGACGATAAAAAGAGTAGTTTCTACACTCTTCTGAGTTACTCAACTCCCCTAAAGAAGCACTCATTTCATGTCCTTCATTGAAAAGATTATGAAAATAACCTCTCCATCTGTCTTTAACCGCGTTCTCTGTAGCAAGAACCTTTCCATCCTCATCCTTGATGCACCTCACTTGGTTTAGGTCCCTTGTCTTCTTTTCCCTTGCTCTAGATAGTTTATAGATATCCAACTCTCCTTCTTTGGTATCTAGTCGTTTATACATATCGTCGTAAGCCGCTAACTTAGCTTCTCTGACAGCTTTCTTCGCCTCTTGCTTCGCTTTTCTATACCTTTCACCATTTTCATCAGTCCTCTCCTTGTATAAGGCTTTACAACATTCCTTCTTAGCCTTCACCTTTGTTTGTACCTCCTCATTCCACCACCAAGATTCCTTTTGGTGTGGGGCAAAGCCCTTGGACTCTCCTAATACCTCTTTTTGCTACTTTTCGGATACAACTAGCCATGGAATCCCACATTTGGCTAGCTTCCCCCTCTCTATCCCACACACATTGGGTGATTACCTTCTCTTTGAAAATGGCTTGTTTTTCTTCTTTTAGATTCCACCATCTAGTCCTTGGGCACTTCCAAGTCTTGTTCTTTTGTCTTACTCTTTTTTGATATGTACATCCATCACCAACAAGCGATGTTGATTAGCCACGCTCTCTCTTGGTATAACTTTGCAATCCTTACAAGTTATACGATCCCCTTTCCTCATTAGAAGAAAAATCTATTTGTGTTTTTGACGACCCACTCTTGTAGGTGATCACATGTTCTTCTCTCTTCTTAAAGAAGGTGTTGGCTAAGAAGAGATCATATGCCATTGCAAAATCCAAGATAGCTTCCCCATCCTCGTTTCTCTCCCCAAAACCATGGCCACCATGAAAACCTCCATAGTTGCCTGTCTCCCTACCCACGTGTCCATTTAAATCTCCTCCTATAAATAACTTCTCCGTCTGAGCAATTCCTTGCACCAAGTCTCCAAGATCTTCCCAAAATTTCTCCTTCGAACTCGTATCCAACCCTACTTGAGGTGCGTACGCACTAATCACATTGATAAGTTCTTGTCCTATTACAATCTTGATTGCCATGATTCTATCTCCTACCCTCTTGACATCTACAACATCTTGTACCAAGGTCTTGTCCACGATGATGCCAACACCGTTTCTCGTTCTATTTGTGCCCGAATACCAAAGTTTAAACCCTGAGTTTTCTAGATCCTTTGCCTTACTACCAACCCACTTAGTTTCTTGTAGGCACATAATATTTATCCTTCTCCTCACCATAACTTCCACTACTTCCATAGATTTTCCCGTTAAGGTTCCTATATTCCACGTTCCTAAACGCATTTTGCTCTCTTGAACTCTACCCTTCTGTCCTAGCTTCTTCACCCTCCCCCGTCTAATAGGATCAAAGTACTTCTTTTGTGTGTCCCGGGTAAAGTTGATAGGAGCATATGCTCCCAAACAACTTTGAGTGGAGTCGTTCGAAAAGAAGTTTCTATGGCCCCCTTGCTCATTTAACACTGCATCCGGGTGCCGATGGAGATACAGCGACCCTTGCTCACTTATCACTGTGCTCAGGCCACACAGCGCGCCACTTACGGGTGACGCCCTAGCTTTAGCGCGATTTTGTTCTGGATTCATTTTCATAAGGATTCGACGTGATCATGGAGTGCCGGCTGTCGACTACCTGACGCCCTCCCCCTCCTCCTTTATCCGGGCTTGGGACCGGCCATGTAAGACATAGGCGGAGTTACTAAGTAGTCCCAGACTATTGAAGAAAAATTGCATAATACATAAAAGAAAATTAGAGGTGATACGTACCAGCTCAAGTGCGTTGCTTATGTTGTCCTCATTAGCTAGAATGGTGTCGAAAACGTTTAAATTTTTCTTGTTGAATGACATTATATCAATTTTAGCATCAAGTATAGAATCATAAGCCGCGTAGCGGTGTTTGGGATAATGAGCAAGGTAATGAAGAGGTGCATTGCCATTAGCATCCTTGTCATTTAAGAGGATGTTGCTAAGCCACAGATCCGTTAACACAAAATCAACTACGTCAACTTGATAGCTCTTTATGGCATAGTGAAGCACATTCTGACATTGGTTGTCGACCAGTTCACAACAATCAGGGCAATGAGTAAGAAGCTCTTTCATTATATCTAGATGGCCTTTGGACGCTGCAAAGTGAAGAGCTGTGCGCCCATCATTGTCAGCAACGTAGGCGGTCGATTTATCACATTCCAATAGTTGCTTAACCATTGACAAGTAACCAAAATCTGCAGCCATGTGAAGCGGAATGCCTCCTTGTTCGTCTGCTGCTTTTGCCAGAGTTCTATCCGATTTTAGTAATGCTCTCGTCATTACTTAAGTATAAAAGAAAAACAAAACACAAATAAATACTTCAAGAAACAAATGTATTAATGAAACATGAAATGAAAGATAAAAGGGATTAGTTTTTTTAAAACTATTTTCTATATACATTTACCTTCATCATTGCGGATAATTGCAGCGTACAAAGCCGTTCTACCATTTGGGCCTTCATAAGTTGGATTTTTGCAACCTTCAAGTATTTGAAGACAATAATGAGTGTATCCCCTCTCGACAGCTAGGTAAAGAGGAGTCTCGCCGGCATCATTAGGAGAGTAGGAAAACTCAGGGTCTTCTTTGGTTAATACCTCCACCACACCAAAGTAATTAAAGCGTACAGCTTCGTGCAGCGCTGTGTCCTTCTTGTTGTTGGTTTTCCTGATGAGTTTTTGCTCCTGCAAGGCGGCATCTTCTGATGAGATCGCACAGCCTTGCTCAAGGTCACCTTGATAATAAGTTTTTGTAGCTAGGAGGAGAGCTCTAACTATACCAGCACGCCCATATCTTGCCGCAATGTGTAGGGCAGTATCACCACTATCGTTCTGCTGCCATAGTAATGCTGGACACATTTTAAGGATACCGTCCACAGTGTTCGTTGACTTGAGTATCTCGTCCTCAGATTCTTTGAACGTTGGGCGCCTATAGCATGCTGTATAGATATGAAGGACTGTGTTCTTGGTTGCAGTCAATATTTTGTCCAGATTCTCGCCATGTTCCTTAAGGACATTGAGATTGCCTTGTTTTGCAGCATTGAAAATATCACGATCCATGTTACTTATAAAAACTGTACTATTGTTCCCTTCTAATTTTGCGGCTTCTTGGACGTCGGCCTGATCTGCTAGCTCGATCTGGTCACCGACATCGGTTGATGCTAACGGAGTAATAGGACTCTCCGACTGATTAGCCACATTGGAGGCATCCATGCTCTTTTGTGTGGGGGGGGGGGGTTGGTTGGTGAGAAGAGTGGTTCTGGAGGGAAGGAAAAATTACAAGAAGGCCAGTTCTGTTGACTAGTTCAAGCTGCAACCTGTTGGAGTTTATGTTGAGAAAATTAGAGTACACAATTCGAATATAAATGTTGGAGAGACAAAATCAGTAAAGAAATTACTTGTATTACATTTTAAATATTACAACATACAATTCTCAAAGACACAATTTTAGAAGTTATGACACTCTTATTTTTTAAAGGCAAACTCTAGATGACTCACTTCTCACAAAAACTACTCCCTAACAACACCACTCTTACTTAAGTGGAACCCACTTCTTGGTTTTTTGCTTGCTTCTTTTTTCGGTTCTTTGCTTTGCTTTTTTTTTCTTTTTCTTTTTCTTGCTTGCTTCTTTTTTTTGGTTCTTTGCTTTGCTTTTTTTTTTTTTTTTTTTTTTTTGTTCTTTGCTTGCTTCTTTTTTTGGTTCTTTGCTTTGCTTCTTTTATTGTTTCTTGTCTTGGTTGATTGCTTATCTTCATTGATTCAAATGGGATGGATGCCTTCTCCTTTTGTAGGCATGAATGGAACCTTGGATATGTCATATGTACGATTTGAATTCATGACCTCTCCTATCAAAGTGGAGCAACAAGGTGCCATCGAACGATTACTAACAATGAACGACTTTAGATTAAAAATCAAGTGCATCAAAGATAATTAGAGAAACTACGTTAAGAGTTTCAACAACAACAACAATAGAGCTTTATTCCATTAAGTGAGGTCAACTGTATGAATCCTAGAACTCTACTGCGCTTGGTTTTGCACTAAGTCTTCTGTTAGCTCCAAGTATTTCATGTCTTTTCTTAGAGTCGTTTTCCAAGTCTTCCTAGGTTTTTCTTTACCCATTTACCCTAAGCCTTGCTCTCATAATTGCATCTTCTAATTGGAGCATCGGTTGGCTCTTGGTTCATATGTACAAACCACCTTAACTGATTTTCTCTAAAAAAAAAGAGTTTCCATTTCTAATTTTCTTTGGACCCATACCTCTTTGATGTAGGCAACTTTGCTATCTGGCGTATTTCGCTACATGCTGTAAACATGAACTTAGCTATCAGCATCACAAGGCCACTAAACATGTGATTCAGGAAATGTGGCCCCTTGAGTATTTTTCTTTCATTAGAAAGAAGGGAATTTGCCAAGACAAGAAGAAAAAGAAGCCAAACACAAAAGCCGCTATGGCGAGTCCGGTAGAAGGGCCAGCCATCAAGTACTGCATATGTGACGGTAATGAACGAAACCACCATCGCAATCAAAGCCCACAAAATTGAAGATACCACCCTGAAAAACGTGTCAGATATCCCATTCTCATAATTTGGATTTGTGTAGACGGAGGAATAAAGGAGCACCAGGACGGAACAACTAGACACGGCCATGGCTATTTTATCTGTTATCACGAATGCTTTGAACGCTGCACTTCTTGATAGAACTATGGCACCCTGGTCAAGTCCCTTCTCACTTTGGTAACCACCAGGCATGGTAAAACCGGCTGCGAATGTTACAGTTGCTATATCAAGGTAGCCACTAGCAGATGTGTTTCTTTTGCTTTATTCCAACTTTTTCCGATTTCCTTGGAACCTTGATTTTCTTCCACTTTATCGCGACCATCTCTGTGATTCTTGATTCTGTGACCTGGTCTACCACCCCGCTTTTGCAATTGCACTTTATGATTTTCCTGCAAGACAGAAAAGTATGACAATGTGCCGGAAAACATAACTCAAGTTTTTCGGACACAAGCAGTAGAAGGTGATGACTACTGAGTATGTACCTGCTCTTATGATATGCTTATCTTGTCCTCATTAGCTAGAATGATATCAAAGGCGTTGAAGTTTTCCTGGTTGAACATCATTCCCGATATTCGAATTTAAAATCTCTTGTTTATAAAAGAAAGGGAATATCAGTAGTCAATATTACTAAGACGTTTTAAAAATCATTCAAATCAAATATCTAGAATTATATTTCTTTTTGTTAAAAAGGTTTAGGAGAAGCCACTTAGTACTACAGTCTAATAGTATTTTTCTTTACTTGTTGAATGTCATTCTCGGTATTCGAATTTAAGATCTTTGTTTATAAATGAAAAGGAATATTAGTAGTCAATAGTACTAAGACCTTTTAAAAACCATTCAAATCAAATATCTAGAATTATATTTCTTTTTGTTAAAAAAGTTTAGGGGTAGCCACGTAGTGCTAATAGTATTCCTCTTCACTTGCAAGAACGTGGTTTTAGGTTCAATTCTCGTCAAAGGTGAATTTAAACCACATAATTGCTAGCCTATTATGAGTCTTAATCTACTCCCCATCTCCTTGGAGTAAAAATATCGTTTGTTAAAAAAAAAGTGTAGGAGAAGGGAACTCTATCGCATTTTAAGGCGTACATGCCACAAATCTCTTTGAAAACTTACAATAACTGAAAACTCGTTATTTATAAGATTTGGGCAAAATTGGGCTTGTTTAATTGGACCATTGTCAAACAACTTGGGCTCAACAGGCCCAATTGAATCGGGGTTACCCGGTGGAGTTTTAGACTTGGTTCTGTAACAACTGACCCGATTGCAGAGAAGCATCGAAAATCCGAAGCGAAGAAGGTGGTGTCTCGTACGGATCGAGCAAGGAAGAAATCAGACATGGGAGAGGTAATAGAAACCCTACCGGCGCACCGGAGCTCCTTCGCAGCTCCAATTGTATTCATCGTCGTCGTCGCTTTCCAAATCCTCTCTAGATGGCTGGAACAGTTAAAGAAGGTAATTTCCTCGACTATTTTTAACTTGCATTCAAACAATTTAATCCTAATTTCTGTGCGAAGTTAGCTCTTAATCTTTTTTTATACTTTAATTGCATTTATTCTGAAATTAAAATTTGAAGTTGGGTGATTTGTTTTGTTGGCAGGGAGGAGTTAAGAATGCTACGGCAACCCGATTGCGTGGAGAAATTAAAGACCTCTTGAAGGAGGCAAGCACCTTGTCACAGTGAGTGATTTTTTATTATTTAATCATATTTTTTCTCCAATTTATCAAATGGAATTTTATTTATTTATACATTTTTGGATTTTCAGCATTGTTTTGATGCTTGCAGCTTCAAATTTCTTAGCTTTATAGTATCAGGCGTTAGTTTGGATTATTTGCAGTTGCATGATCTTTGTTTTTGCCTGAATCCAGGCCGTCGACATTTGCGCAAGCTGCGAAACTTCGGAGGATGGCAGCTGCGAAGGAGAAAGAACTTGCAAATTGTTAGTTTGCAACTCCAGCCCTTGGATTATTGTTTATGTTGATCATATGTATAATTATATACAGGCATTCCTAAAACACGTATACTACGTATATATGATTGCAGAGAGTAATTGTATATGACATCCTTGGGCTCAAAGTTGTGTTTGTATAATGGCGTCCACGCATTTTATGAGTATGATGTTGTTAAGCAAAGTATTGAATGGCGAAGACAGTTTAGGTAGTTATTCAATGTCATTACGTGCCGTCCAGATCAAGAATTACACGGCAAGGAGATAAAACTTTCATATGATTTGTATCTGAGAATTTTGTTCATCTTAAAGGTAGTTCTCAGTATTTTGAATTTTCGAAATATTTATTAGCTTTCTTCGATAACAGGGAATTGCCTGAGCTAGGGTTCTTAAAAGATACACTTGGTTGTCCATTTAGGTCTTGACATATATTGTACTGGTTTGCTGGTTTTGGAGGGTTCCTGTTGCCTCCATATCGCAACAACTTGTGCAACCCTTTGGTAACGTGTTCTCGATCCAAATTTACTTTTCGAGTCCCCTCTTTCCTATTGAGACAGTACATCTATAACAATTGATAGAAGTTACTGATTACTATCTCTTGTTGCCCTGCAGGGAAGCTGATATCATGGAGGGCCGGAGGAATTGTAAACGAAAATGTTATGGTAAATAAAGTTGGAATTACTTTTGATCGTTACTTGTCATATATTATGGTAAATAAAGTTGGAATTAATTTTGATCGTTACTTGTCATATATTAAAGGTGCCTTAAATAAATGATCTAAAAAATGCCAGTCTCTTATCACTTCTGTAAGAGTATCTATATTTGCTGGCACTCTAATGTCTCGTCAATACTATGTAGTGTCACTTTCGTGTTTAGACTTCCGATGTTTGCATATTACGTATCTCGAAGAGATAGGCATTGCTTAGCATGCGATATAGAGGAATCTTAAGCATGGTTTTGAGTATTGCTTCTGATCCTTCATGATTTGTTTTTGCAGGTAGGAATTATTCCTTGGTTGATATTATCTACCAGGGTTAGCAAGTTCGTATGTCGACTTGCCAAGTTCTAGAGTTTAAATTATTCGTGTCCTGTCAAGTTTTTATTGTACCGACGGAAACATGATTTTGTTCTGTCATTTACTCCACAATGTTTAGTCATGAACTTAAGATTGTTACCTACTCGTGTAATTTGTACCAGTAGCGTGCATTACTCTTTCGGTTGTCTGTGAAATTGAGTTTATCGTTGTAGTATGCTAAAGGTTGTGCAAATGCAGCAGCTCTTACATCACAATACATACTTACATATATATATATATATATATGTTCCAAATTTTTGAACATTGCCAACTCACAAACTTATCTACAATGGAGCTAGAAGACAAACAATTAACCTAACACCATTTGCAAATTTAATCTGGACAGTACACTTGTCACTTGATTACTACTAAACTTTAAAACTAAAGTAAACTTGTTGCTGCTTCTGCTACTTCTGTTGTTTCGAATTCCAGTTACCAGAAACGATTTAGGCTCCAACAGCTACTCGGTCGGCCGAGGCCTGTATGTTCCCCTCAAGAGCATCGAGTTAAGCAGCGAAATACATGAGTTACTTATTAGCAATACAATGCCTGAATACAAATGGTGCAGGAAATGCGGGGCCTTTAGTATTTTTCTTTCTAAAGAAAGAATGGAATGTGCAAAGAAATAGAAGAAAAAGCAACCAAGCACAAGAACTGCAATGGCTAATCCCGGAGAATGACCACCAAGTACTGCGTATGTGCCAGTAACGAATGCAATCACCATTGCAATCAAAGCCAACATTGTCAAAGTTACTACCATTTGAAACGTCTCAGAGATTTGGGTCATGTACTTTCCTTTTGTGTGAATGGAGGAATACAGGAGCACCAGGACAGAACAACTAGACAGGGCCATGGCTAGTGTATCTGTTATAACAAATGCTTTGAACGCTGTGTTTTTTGATAGAATTGGGGAACCCTGGTCCGATCCTCCTCCGCTTTGGTAACCACCGGGCATGGTAAAACTCGCAGCAAAGGTTACGGTTGCTATCAGTGTAGCCACCACCAGATGGGTTTCTCTTGCTTTCGTTATTCCTACTCCAGTGTCTTTGCCACCTTGGTGTTCCTCCTCCACTTCATTGCCATCAGCGTTGTGGCTTTTAATTCTGTAACCTGGTCCACCACCCCTTACTTGCAAAAGTTTTTTTAAATCTTCCTGCAAGACATAAAAGATTAATGTTATCTTCACAGACAAATCTAAGGATGAAGTTTATGACCACCCTTATTATTGGTTATGTAATTGTACGGACAAGTTATCCTTATTTGGATAGCTTAGGATTTACTTCATGGACAGAGCCGGAAAGTTTTTTTTTTCAGTGGGGTAACATAGTAACAGGCTTCTCTTCTGTAGTCTAGGACTCTAGTCTACTGAGTAGCCCAACTTTTTAAACAGTTTCACCATTCGATTTCTTAGCATCAGTCTTCACCGTCCAATTTAGGACTACTCAATAGTCCCAGACAGTTGAAGAAAAAGTGCATAATAACATAAAAGAAAATTAGAGGTGATACGTACCAGATCAAGTGCGTCACTTATGTTGTCCTCATTAGCTAGAATGTTGTCGAAAGCGTTTAAGTTTTTCTTGTTGAATGACATTATATCAATTTTCGCATCAAGTATAATATCATTCTTCCAGGGGAAGGGATACTGAGCAAGGTAATGGATAGGTGCATTGCCATGAGCATCCTTGTCATTTAAGAGTATGTTGCTAAGCCACAGATCCGTTAACACAAAATAAACTACGTCCTCTTGATGGCTCTTTATGGCATAGTGAAGCACATTTTGACATTTGTTGTCGACCAGTTCACAACAATCGGGGCAATGAGTAAGAAGCTCTTTCATTATATCTAGATGGCCGTCGGACGCTGCAAAGTGAAGAGCTGTGCGCCCATCATTATCAGCAACGTAGGCGGTAGATTTATCACATTCCAATAGTTGATTAACCATTGAAAAGTAACCAAAATCTGCAGCCATGTGAAGCGGAATGCATCCTCGTTCGTCTGCTGCTTTTGCCAGAGTTCTATCCGATTTTAGTAATGCTCTCGTCATTACTTATGTATAAAAAGAAAAAGAAAACACAAATAAATACTTCAAGACACATGTATTAATGAATCATGAAATGACAGATAAAAAGGAATATTCTTTAACTATTTTTTATATACATTTACCTTCATCATTGCGGATAACTGCAGCGTGCAAAGCCGTTCTACCATTTGGGCCTTCATAAGTTGGATTTTTGCAACCTTCAAGTATTTGAAGACAATAATGAGTGTATCCCCTCTCGACAGCTAGGTAAAGAGGAGTATCGCCGGCATCATTAGCAGAGTAGGAAAACTCAGGGTCTTCTTTGGTTAATACCTCCACCACACCACAACAACAACAACAAAGCCTTTTCCCACTAAGTGGGGTCGGCTATATGAATCCTAGAACGCCATTGCGCTCGGTTTTGTGTCATGTCCTCCGTTAGAACCAAGTACTCTAAGTCTTTTCTTAGAGTCTCTTCCAAAGTTTTCCTAGGTCTTCCTCTACCCCTTTGGCCCTGAACCTCTGTCCCGTAGTCACATCTTCGAACCGGAGCGTCAGTAGGCCTTCTTTGCACATGTCCAAATCACCGGAACCGATTTTCTCTCATCTTTCCTTCAATTTCGGCCACTCCTACTTTACCTCGAATATCCTCATTTCCAATCTTATCATTTCTTGTGTGCCCACACATCCCACGAAGCATCCTCGTCTCCGCCACACCCATTTTGTGTACGTGTTGATGCTTCACCGCCCAACATTCTGTGCCATACAACATCGCTGGCCTTATTGCCGTCCTATAAAATTTTCCCTTGAGCTTCAGTGGCCTACGACGGTTACACAACCCGCCGGATGCACTCTTACACTTCATCTATCCAACTTCTATTCTATGGTTGAGATCTCTCTAATTCTCCGTTCTCTTGCACGATATATCCTAGGTAGCGAAAACGGTCGCTTTTTGTGATCTTCGCTAGATTGCTCCGATCATTAGTGTGGATAAGTATATAAATGGATATAGATAGGAAAGCAAACACAAGATGTACGTGGTTCACCCAGATTGGCTACGTCCACGGAATAGAGGAGTTCTCATTAATTGTGAAGGGTTTACACAAGTACATAGGTTCAAGCTTTCCTTTAGTGAGTACAGGTGAATGATTTAGTACAAATGACATTAGGAAATATTGTGGGAGAATGATCTCGTAATCACGAAACTTCTAAGTATCGGAATGTGGTATCGTCTTGACTTGCCTTATCTGTCTCACAGGTAGATGTGGCATCTTCTCTGGAAGTACTCTTCCTCCATCCAGGGGTGGTATCTTTAACTGGTGGAGATGCACAAGGTAATGTATCAATTTCACTTGAAGCTTACTTGTAGTTTCAGGCTTGGTCAAGCGCGATACAAACCATGTAGTAGGAGTCCCTCAAGTTGCCGAGCTAGGGGATTTGCTGAAAGAGGTGACAGACAAGGTAAGCAATCAGAGCTCCGGCTGATTGTTCACATTCTCCCTATCTTGCAGGCAGCATGAAGGATAAAGAGAAGAAAAATGAGAAGAGATGATATGGGATACTTTTGCTTTTGAAGAAGTAACTTTCCACAGGCTTATTCTTGAACTGAGCTGGAGGGTTTTCTGGTTTCCTCCAGAGTATAAGGCCGACTGAAGAATTTGAGGGTCAAAACAAGTCCATCAAATCTAGAGTACGTTCGACCCCTACTGATATGGGATACTTTTGCTTTGACAGAGTAATGGATGTATCGGCACGTGTGCTGTTACGCTTGTCTCCACATGCTTCCTTGTATCCTTCTCACTTGCCCTATCTGTTCCTCAGGCAGATGCGGTATCTTCCCTGAAAGCATAAGATGTTGAAGATGAGTACTCGAGAGCAATGCCAGGTAAGTAAGTTCCAGGCAGTCAGTTCCTGGCTGGAAGCTTGATTCCAAGTGCTGACTGATTGCTCTCTTTCTCCTTGTCTTGCAGGTAAGAACAAGGCCAAAGGAAAAGACAGGGAAAAAGCATGATATGGGATACTCTTGCTTTTAACCCTGATGATATGAGATATTCTTGCTCTAGTATAACTTGTTTGCAGAGGTATTATCGGGGGGAAAGAAAGCTGAATATTTCGAAAGGCTTCGTTGAGAGTGCCCTCTCATATATGAGGAAGGGTTGAGCATTTTTGCAGGTCTGTCTGTCCGTTGGGGATGGAGGTTGACATATATAGGAGTCTCCTTAACAACAAGTAGTAATGCTATTCCTTTACCCTGTCAGAGCACTTTGAAAAAGTGGTCTGTGGTATGTGGAAAGCTGATGTTGCGTGTGAAGATTACAGACAGCTTTATCCAAGGAGATCCGGCTCTTGTAGTTGGGAAAGTGTTGCCTCTTCGGTTTTCGAACAAGCAATCCTATCAGGGATCTGGCTCTCGAGATTCGGAGAACGATGTCTCTTCGATTTTTGAGAAAGCAATCCTGCTGGGGGTCTGGCTCTCGAGATTCGGAGAGCGGTGTCTCTTCGATTTTTGAGAAGGTAATCATGTTGGGAGTCTGGCTCTCGAGATTCGGAGGGCGGTGCCTCTTCGATTTTGGAGCAAGCAATCTTGTTGGGAGTGTTTTCTCGAATGTGAGTAAAGGTTGGGCATGTTTGCTAGTCTACCTTGCCACGAAGCACAGAGGTTGACACACAGGGACTTTCCAATTATCCAGCAATGGTATTGTTCCTTTACCCTCTCTTCGATTTTTGAGAAAGTAGTCATGTTGGGAGTCTGGCTCTCGAGATTCGGAGGACGGTGCCTCTTCGATTTTGGAGCAAGCAATCTTGTTGGGAGTGTTTTCTCGAATGTGAGTAAAGGTTGGGCATGTTTGCTAGTCTACCTTGCCACGAAGCACAGAGGTTGACACACAGGGACTTTCCAATTATCCAGCAGTGATACTGTTCCTTTACCCTTGTGGGTAATAATATGGGGTAGCTAGACCTTCAAAATTTATGTGTCTAAACTTTGTTAGTGCTGTTTCTTTGCTATTCTTTTACCCGTCTTGGTCAGAGCGATGTAGTGGAAGCTGCAAGCTTCACGTGCTCAACTTTGGCAGAGAACTTTGGCAAAGTTATCTGTGATACACATGAGCTACTATTGCGTGTGGGAAGTGGGTGATTGAACAGTAAGACTCATGTGCTTTCTACTTCACCAGAAGTCTTCGACAGAATGCCCATAATTTCCGCAAAGCTGAGTGTGCGTGTGACAGGTGCTGCCAAGGCTGGAAAAGTAGGTGCCTCTTCGATTTCTGAGATCGGCCCTCGTGGTCTCTGAGCAGCCCAACTTTTGAGAAAGCAAGCGCCTCTTCGATTTCTGAGATCGGCCTTCGTGGTCTTTGAGCAGCCCAACTTTTGAGAAAGCAGACGCCTCTTCGATTTCTGAGATCGACCCTCGTGGTCTCTGAGCAGCCCAGCTTTTGAGAAAGCAAACGCCTCTTCGATTTCTGAGCAGGCGCCTCTTCGATTTCTGAAGCTCCGTCGAGTGCAGATTTTTTTATAGGGGCTGGCATTAAGTTCCAAAGCACACTTGAATCTCCACCAGTAGAAGCTCCATTCTTACACTTCTAAGATCTTGATTTGTTCGACCTCTTCTCTCTTCAACACCTTTGAAAATGTCTGGCCCCTCCGACCGTCGTTTTGACTTGAACCTTGTTGAAGAGGCAGCCCCGCCTTCTCCAGACAACATATGGCGCCCATCCTTCGTCTCCCCTACTGGTCCTCTTACCGTTGGGGATTCCGTTATGAAGAATGATATGACCGCTGCGGTGGTGGCCAGGAACCTTCTCACTCCCAAAGATAACAGACTACTTTCCAAACGATCTGATGAGTTAGCTGTTAAGGATTCTCTGGCTCTCAGTGTTCAGTGTGCAGGTTCTGTGTCTAATATGGCCCAACGCCTATTTGCTCGAACCCGCCAAGTTGAATCATTGGCGGCTGAAGTGATGAGTCTCAAACAGGAGATTAGAGGGCTCAAGCATGAGAATAAACAGTTGCACCGTCTCGCACATGACTATGCTACAAACATGAAGAGGAAGCTGGACCAGATGAAGGAATCTGATGGTCAGGTTTTACTTGATCATCAGAGATTTGTGGGTTTGTTCCAAAGGCATTTATTGCCTTCGTCTTCTGGGGCTGTACCGCGTAATGAAGCTCCAAATGATCAACCTCTGATGCCTCCTACTTCTAGGGTTCTGTCCAGTACTGAGGCTCCGAATGATCCCCCTCCGGTGCCTTCTCTTTCTGGGGCTCTACCGACTGCTGCGACTTCTCCTAAGCAACCTTTGTGAAGGCTCTCTCTTGTTTGTTTATTTTGACTCATGTATATGTACATATTTGTAGCTTATCGGGGATATCAATAAATAAGCTTTCCTTCATTTCAACGTATTGTGTTAAATACACCAAAGCCTTCTTCTCTAAGTTCTTTGAATTTTCTTTTGTTGGAGCTTTGTGAGTGGAGCATGTAGGTTGAGGTAGTGTTCCCTTAATTTCCTGAGTGAGGAAAACTTCTCGGTTGGAGACTTGGAAAATCCAAGTCACTGAGTGGGATCGGCTACATGAATCTTAGAACGCCATTGTGCTCGGTCCTGTGTCATGTCCTTCGTTAGATCCAAGTACTCTAAGTCTTTTCTTAGAGTCTCTTCCAAAGTTTTCTTAGGTCTTCCTCTACCCCTTCGGCCCTGAACCTCTGTCCCATAGTCGCATCTTCTAATCGGAGCGTCAGTAGGCCTTCTTTGCACATGTCCAAACCACCGTAACCGATTTTCTCTCATCTTTCCTTCAATTTCGGCTACTCCTACTTTACCCCGGATATCCTCATTCCTAATCTTATCCTTTCTCGTGTGCCCACACATCCAACGAAGCATTCTCATCTCCGCTACACCCATTTTGTGTACGTGTTGATGCTTCACCGCCCAACATTCTGTGCCATACAGCATCGCCGGCCTTATTGCCGTCCTATAAAATTTTCCCTTGAGCTTCAGTGGCATACGGCGGTCACACAAACACGCCGGATGCACTCTTCCACTTCATCCATCCAGCTTGTATTCTATGGTTGAGATCTCCATCTAATTCTCCGTTCTTTTGCAAGATAGATCCTAGGTAACGAAAACGATCGCTCTTTGGTATTTCTTGATCACCGATCCTCACCCCTAACTCGTTTTGGCCTCCATTTGCACTGAACTTGCACTCCATATATTCTGTCTTTTGATCGGCTTAGGCGAAGACCTTTAGATTCCAACACTTCTTTCCAAAGGTTAAGCTTTGCATTTACCCATTCCTGAGTTTCATCTATCAACACTATATCGTCTGCGAAAAGCATACACCAAGGAATATCATCTTGAATATGTCCTGTTAACTCATCCATTACCAACGCAAAAAGGTAAGGACTTAAGGATGAGCCTTGATGTAATCCTACAGTTATGGGAAAGCTTTCAGTTTGTCCTTCATGAGTTCTTACGGCAGTCTTTGCTCCTTCATACATATCCTTTATAGCTTGGATATATGCTACTCGTACTCCTTTCTTCTCTAAAATCCTCCAAAGAATGTCTCTTGGGACCCTATCGTACGCTTTCTCCAAATCTATAAAGACCATGTGTAAATCCTTTTTCCCATCTCTATATCTTTCCATCAATCTTCGTAAGAGATAGATTGCCTCCATGGTTGAGCGCCCTGGCATGAACCCGAATTGGTTGTCCGAAACCCGTGTCTCTTGCCTCAATCTATGCTCAATGACTCTCTCCCAAAGCTTCATTGTATGACTCATTAGCTTAATACCCCTATAGTTCATGCAATTTTGTACGTCGCCCTTATTCTTGTAGATAGGCACTAAAGTGCTTGTTCGCCACTCATTTGGCATCTTCTTCGTTTTCAAAATCCTATTGAAAAGATCAGTGAGCCATGTTATACCTGTCTCTCCCAAAACTTTCCACACCAAAGTAATTAAAGCGTACAGCTTCGTGCAGCGCTGTGTTCTTCTTGTTGTTGGTTTTCCTGATGAGTTTTTGCTCCTGCAAGGCGGCATCTTCTGATGAGATCGCACAGCCTTGCTCAAGGTCGCCTTGATAATAAGTTTTTGTAGCTAGGAGGAGAGCTCTAACTATACCAGCACGCCCATATCTTGCCGCAATGTGTAGGGCAGTATCACCACTCTCGTTCTGCTGCCATAGTAATGCTGGACACATTTTAAGGATACCGTCCACAGTGTTCGTTGACTTGAGTATCTCATACTCAGATTCTTTGTACGTTGGGTGCCTATAGCATGCTGTATAGATATGAAGGACTGTGTTCTTGGTTGCAGTCAACATTCTGTCCAGATTCTTGCCTTGTTCCTTAAGGACATCGAGATTGCCTTGTTTTGCAGCGTTGAAAACATCAGGATCCATGCTACTTATTAAAACTGTACTATTGTTGCCTTCTAATTTTGTAGCTTCTTGGACGGTGGTTTGATCTGCTAGCTCGATCTGGTCACCGACATCGGTTGATAGTAACGGAGTAATAGGACTCTCTGATTGATCAGCCAGATTGGAGGCATCCATGTTGAGGGGTGAAGAGTGATGCAGGGGGCGGAGAAAGGCAAAATTACAACAGGGCCAGTTCTGTTGACTAGTCCAAGCTGCAATCTGGTGGAGGTTCATCACATTGTTCTTATTATATAGTCCTATACAATTTTGTCGCATATGAGGTTAGGTGCATAATTCTACGTGTTTTGTTATTTTTAATCGTTGGATTCCCTAAACACGCTCTAACCTTTAAGTGCTAGCAAACTAGTTTAATAAACATAGTACATGACAAAATTTCTCTCCCCTATGAGAGCTCCTCTTCCCCGTGAGAGACTTTCTCACCATCGTGTCAGTGCTTTTCGTTCTCTTTAATCTGCGTCAGCACATGCCCTAACTTTGGTTAGGGTCGGTGCTAGTCCCATGTTTTTTATGTGTGTTTTGATTCGGTGGTTTGCTTGGTTTCAGTTCTTTTTTGCTCTTCCTGTTGCCTGCAAATTTTCCTCCCCTTCCCTACAATTTTCCCGATCATATCCTCTATTCTCTCCTTTTGCCTTTGATTTCACCTTTTTGAGACTTAAACCCCCATCCCCCGTTTCTTCCATAATCTTTGACTCATCCACCACCCTCTTTGATCTATACCCCTCCACCATCTGCATCTTTTGGTTCCGCCACCTCTATCCTCAATTTCGGTCGGTTTCCGCCTCCGTTTACTACGCTTTGTCGCGCATCTTTGGCAGGGTGTGTAGAGCTTGAGCTCGGTGCTTGCACCACCACCCTTGTTGACCATTATTGGTCCTGCCTGTTGTTCACCCTTGTTTGCGTGCTTCTTGTTCTTGTGGCGGCGGTTCTTGCTGGTTCATTGAGGATGTTCGTAATCTTAGGTGATCGTGTTGGGAGGCAGTTCGTGAAGATTGTTAGGTGGTTCTTTGACAGCAGCAGGAAGACTAGTTTCCTAGGGTTTTTCTGTTTGTTTAGTTTGTGTGTGCTGGGCTCCAAGGGTGGGCTTGGGGCTTTGTCTTTTGTGTGTTTGTGGCCCATTTTTGTAATTGTGGTTGTGGTAATGAATTTTACCCTTTGTCAAAAAAAAATAAATAAATAAACATAGTACATTGCATACAATGTATGTATTATCAAATGGTAGGCAAGTTGGTATTACTTAATCTATAATTTACGCGTGATGCAGATTAGAGATCAGCTTGTTGATATTATTTACGAGAGTTAGCAGATGAGAAAGCGATTTTTATACACTTATTTTTACATCTTAAGAGACAAATAAAAACATGAATATGTAGGATGAAAAAGATGAAGTGAGAAAATCATTTTAAAACACTATTTATTATGTTTTAATTAATTAATTAATAATTCATTTGTAAACTAGTCCTTTCCTGAGTAGATTCCACGATTTTAAATTGTTCAAATGTGTGCATAGGATGACATTGAAATATGTATTGAAAGTGCTATTTAGGGATTGGGAGCTTTGCCCATGGAAACAAAAACACAAAATACATTTTATAGAACTCCAGTAATTTTGAATCATTTCAAGGAAATATAAAAATTTAAACCCGAACAAACTTAGCCCAACAACAAGCAAACCAAAATTCTAAAATTTCAGCCATGCCCCCAACTTGTTATATAACCAACGCCAAAACTACAAACTGACACCATTTATAAAAACTTCAAACTAATTTTAGATCCGTAAAAATTAATTTTTGCACTTCTGCAATTTGGTCTTATTATATTTCTATAAAATTCTGTTGCATGTGATGTGACACACCCCGACCTAAATCAAAGTGTGCTGGCCGTCACATGAGAGTGACGTAACCATGTGCACAGTGCGGAAGCAATAATGATATAGAGAAATACGAATGAATAAAAACCAAACTGACAGCAGTACTAGCTAAGATAACGTGCTAGTGCGAGATTAAGTGTGAAATACACAACCAAAGTATAAATAGGCTAAGTGCAGTCAAGCAGGACAAGTACTAATTATACAACACTCAAAGGTGATCCTACATTTATGATGTTCTGTCAGAACCACCGTCGAAATCCCCGTGAGCCACCAAAGCACTTCTACCTAAAACCTGGAGGGGCACAAAACAGAAAGTGTGAGTGGGCAAAAATAAAGCTTTTCAAAATCATTTCATTTCTCAAAAGTTCTAACCCCTCGTCGTAAAACCTGTATAATTTCCCAAAAAGATATAATATATGCTATATCAGAAATCATGCTCAGGATGAAAATCCATAGAAATATACCATGCCAAAGTATCTAAATGAAATGCCATAAATAATCCAGTTAAAATATATCAATGCCAGATATCATATCAGCCGAATCCACCTAACGTGACATGCACGGCTAAGTCTATAGCTCATAATCAATCTCAACCATATCAAATCATGCACACGAGTCGGAACCACCTAATGTGGTCTGCACGATAGGGCTAGGTGTAAAATAAATATGCTCTAGTGCTACGATCACGTGAAGACTGTGCGAATGATCGCGGGTCACTTACGAGTCGTAACCATCTATAATGGTCTGTACGACAAGCCTGTGCACCTAACTTGGTCCAAGGTGAGCATATGGTGCGGGAGGTGAACATCACGTGAAGGACTGTGCCCTAACTCTGGGCGGGAGCACTAACACCGGGGTGCAGGTTTATGAGCTCTCAATGCATCACATCATATCTTTCATAACTGAAGAAATCTCATATCTTTAATTTATGAACTTACCTGGCATTTACATGTGTGTCCGCAACAACAATCATAAATATATGCAACTACTAATGCATAAATAAAATAGGCAAATACTTTGCATGGCATTTCAAAACTTATAATCATTCAATTTCATTTTTTGGGAAAAATCTCAAGTATATATACGAAAAACCAAAAGCCCACTCACTGATATGTCGAAGGGTCGTAGCCCCAAAGCCTCGATTGATGGCGCTCGTCCTCAGGATAGGTCTCACCTATATGCGAAATAACTAAATAAACGTTATTTAAAGCACATACGCAAAACTAGGAAATAACTTCTCATGCATTGCTCAATTGGGGTATTTGAATATACCACAATGACCTACTCAACCTCAGGAATACCCCCAAATTTTTAGAAATTTTTTCCGAGTACCCACACTAGCCGGCCAAAGCACAACCAAACGTGCGGCCCACGCTCAGGCACGTGCCTGTCACAGGGGACGGAATAGTTAACGCCGTCAGGGAATATTCTGTTAAAAACAAGTATATTCCGTTAAAGGTCCCTGACGCCGTTAGTCTCCGTTAGGAATATTCCGTCATCTTTGACGAAATATTCACCTTCGTCTACCTCTGCTCGCCGGAGACCGTCGCCGTCTCCGGAAACTGGGAAAAAGTTTAAACCTTCATATCTTCTTCATTTTTCCACCAAAACTCATGAAATTTGTACCAAAATAAAACTTAGGACTAGAAGAACAAAACCTTACCACTTTCAAGCCTTGAAATCCACAGAATTTCGCCGGAGAAACCTCGATATTCCGGCCACCTCTGCAACTCGTTTAACCCGAGCTTCCCGACGTCCAAATCGCTCCAAAGTTACTCCCCGAGCTTCGTGAAGATGTTTTAAGACTTCCTAGGACCTTAAAATTCACTGAAAGGTCCACGATCATGACTGCATGAACAGTGCTCGCAATCGGGGTTCTCTGGTTCTCAGGTTTTACGAGCTATCACGTCGAACTAAGGGTATGGATGAGCTCCTGGGCTCACAGGGAACACAAAGACCACCTTTACAGCCTTGATTCGTGCTTGCAAAGGTTGGTTTGAAGTCTGTCCGTACAATTGTACGGAAATGGAAGGAAGTCCGAGAGAGGTAGGAGAGAGAGAGTCAACGGGAGAGTGGTATGGGTGAGTGTGAGTGTATGTGGTCCAGCTTTGAGTCACTAACAATAACTAAACCATTAACTTTAAGTTCCAAAACTTAGGAACTAACTAGGTTAGTTTAGAACCCAAACTCAAACCACAACACTACATAATGTGCTCAACATCCAAGGGTATAAAAGGAATTTCCACACTATCGTGGATAAAATAATATACGTTCGGGACGGGCTGTCACATGATGTGAGGTTAGGGGCATAATTTCGACGTTTTTTGTTATTTTTAATTATGGGATCCCCTAAACACGCTTTAATATATGTATTATCAAATGGTAAGCAAGCTCACCATGGGAGTTCTTTTCATGCAGGCTCACTGCCATGGGAAGTTTCCGGATCATCCCTTTGAGTAGCATTTTGTTTCAGTTGCTACAAAGTTTTGCATATAATGGAATTATATCAGTGCTTCACGACACAAAAATAAAAAAAATTAAAAAGAAAGGTAAGCAAGCTGGCATTTCTTAATAGGGATGTGCTATTCACACACATTTTTTTACTTCTCACACACCCTTATTAATTTATGTTCGTTGATCTTCTTCAATTCATCTGATCTGAAGGCCGAAAACCAAAAAGGTGTGGGAGAAGTAAAAAGAGGTGTGTAGATATCACACCCCTTCTTAATATATATAGTTGACGCACGAGGTAGACTGGAGAGCCCAGTTGCTGGTTGGTATTATTTACGGGGGTTAGTAAATGGGAAAGCTATTTTTGTACACTTACTTTTACACTTCGCACATTATTGGTTATTTGTGACTTTTAGATAGAACATAACAAAGTGACAAATAAAAACATGAATGTGCAGGATGAGAGAAATGAAGTACGAAAATCATTTTCTTTTAGTAAATTTGCTTATCGACTTGTCAAGTTTATAGAAATTAAAGATGGTTTATGCCATCTTTAACAATGCTAAACAAGCTGGCATTTTGTTCTTAATAATTACCATTTGCCAATCCTAACCTTTTATTTTGTTTTAATTAATTAATAATTTAATAATTTATTTGTAAACTAGTCCTTTGCAGAACAGATTCCACGATTTCCGTTCAAATGTTTTGCATCGGTGGACGTGAAATATGTATCGAAAGGAATCGGGAGCATTACCTATGGAAACAAAAAACCACAACATTGTTAAGATTTAAGCTGCATACTAGCTTGAAATCAACATTGCAGATGACTATCCTGCAAATGCAATTGAAAAGAATAATGA